CCCCCCCCCCCCCCCCCCTCCATACTGGCGAAGCTGGTGAACCGCTACCATCAGGTGGGGCTGGGCACCACATCCCCACCCTCCAAGGCTGATCGATCCTCCTCCCACCAGCTACCACTCGTAGCACCAGTGTAACCCCCGGGACTCCCTCCACCAAGGGCCGGCCCTTCCCTTCCCCCCTCCTCGTCGCCGCCGCCCCCGCCAGCCGCGCCCCCTCCGGCCACCGCTCTGCCGTCGGAGACCAGCTGCAAGTAGGCATCCAGGCCCCCGTCCAACGGAGCCACCACGTTGAAATCGCCCATTTCTGCTTGGCCCAGGCCTATGTCTGCGTCGTCGTTTTCGTTGGTGCTGGTGTTACCGCGGCCGTTCGAACCGGATCCCTCTTGTGTATCGCCACCGCCGTCACTCCCGCGGGCGGCCCCGGTTGATTCGTCCACGCCCCCTCCCTCCCGCGCACCCTCGCTTGCACTCCCCTCTCCCCTCCCGCCGCCGCCACCAACCCCACCGTCCGCACGACCACCCTTCCCTCCTCCGCCCTTCTCCTCCGCGGGGCCCTCCGAAACCTGCCTGCTGGTGGTGCTGCCGTCGCTACCGCCGCGGTCTCTTGGTGGTGATACACCGCCATCCCTCCGGCTCGCCGTCCCCCACGCCCGCCCATCACCGCTCTCCTCTTCCTCGCCCCTCCCTTCCTCCTCCTCTTCCTCAACATCTCCGGCCACCTCTCGGACGGTGTGCGTGTGTGCGGGCCCAAAGTCTCCTAGCCAGCCGGTGTGGGCTTCCCTCCTACCCGCGCGCTGACCGTCGTCCCTCCTCGACAGACCGTTCCGGCTCCTACTGCCGCCCCCACCGCCGCTGTCGTACCTCCCTCGGAGTGCACCGCCAGGGTGGTTGGTTTGTCGCAGGCCGCCGCCCAGCGGCACCCTCACGGCCCCCTCGGGCTCCCAGGCCGCAGACGACCCGGCCGAGATTTGTTCGCTGTCTTCGCCGTCGAACCTTTTTGTGAAGGGTAAAGAGCGAGAGGGGTTAGGCTGGATTGGTTTTCGCGAAGGCGTTGAAGGCGTTCGGTCTCAAACACAGAGGTTGTTTTCATTCCGTTTCGTGTCCTCGTGCCTCGTGCTCGATAGACCGCGCTGGTCCTGCTGCCTGCCTTGATACCATCATCACCCAAACCCTACACCGATAAAATACCACGCGCTGTTTCCAAAGGCACAAATCTGTATAACTAGAACAGCTCACAACTAAATTTATTGCTGTGTACTGCACACGGCCGCAATTCTGAGACACCGACGTCCAGTTGACAGCTTCTCAACCAGCAGGTGTCCACCTGACAACCGCGAAAAACGAATCTGAATGCTTCGATTCTGTTGTGCTTGTGCAGAATGTACGCGAAGGTGCTTCATTATTTCTCTCACCAATCCCCGCCCGCCAAGCGCGTCATCAGAGAAGACTCCAGGAATGCCCCAGCGATGTCCAGAGCGTGCTCCCCGGGCGTGTGGCCCCTGAACCACGCCGCGCAGTCGACCAGGTCCCAGGTCACGAGCACCACGGGGTAAGGCGATGCATGGGTATGTAAGTAAGCGGGCGTGGGTTCATGGGAATGGGGAGGCTGTCGCGCAAATTATATTCCACGATAGTAACTGCAGGACTCGTGCAATATCGGGGCACAACCAGTAGGGTTCAGAACTTCAGCAAACGGTGCGGGTGGTCATGCTATCGTGCTGCGACCGCAGGGGAACACCTCCTGAGATACCTGGCGTTGGAGTCCCACTCGGTGGCCAGGGAATAACCTCCCCTGTCCCTGTCCTTGTCCCTGTCCCCAGAAACGCCGCTTCGACCGTCAGCGGGGAAACCCTGGGTGACATCACCAGGGTTGCCGCCGCGGTCGAGGCGGTCCAGGCGACGGCGAGCGACGGTATCTCTCACGGCAGAACGGCGCGCACCGGCGATCTGAGGAATCGCAAGCCCAGGGTCGAAGAAGCGAACACGCAGAGGTTTGGGAGATGAGTCTACGGGGGAAGAAAGTGAAGCGGTGGTAGGGACTGCCTTCGTGTGGCACGTTGCGATTTTGTCAAGGTTGTGAGTTCCCATCTGCAGGGCCCCTTCATTCGGCCGACGAACACCAGTGCGTCTACTCTCTAGCTACGGTGAAGCTTCAGACCGCCGTCCACCCTCGCCGAAGACATCAGCACGGGTCGGCGGGCCGACACCTCCCCTCCAACAACACAAGCAAAAAAGTCACAGCCAAGCGCGGAACAACAACCATCCGAGAGCCAACACACCTTCCTGAGCCGGTCCTTGTGGGCGTCCAACTGCGGCCTTATCCTTGACTGCACCCCGCGAAGGTACGCGGGCCCGCTCTCCCGCCGAGCTCCCTGCCCTCTGCGCCCCCTCCCCGTCCGCGACGACGCCACAACGTGAGCCGGGGGTGACACCTCCCACATCCCCGCCGGCCGCGTCCCTTCCTTCCAGTCTGCGCCGCTCCCGGCCCCTCCGACCCCGACGTGCCTAGCCCTCCCAGCGCCGCCGGCGCCGGCGCTCTGTGTCCGGCGGCGACTGCTGCCGTGCACCGCGCCCAAGCCTCTCGCAGCTGCAAACAGGTCCCCGGCCTCCTCTTGCGCGTAGTCCTCTTGCTCCTCTCCCGGAGCCCGAGCGATGGACCTCCCGGCCCCGACCCAATCTTCCGCCTCCTCCCACGCGCGCAACGCCTCGTCGTCGTCGCCGCCGACACCCTCGCCCGGATAAGGGCCGCCGTCACCGTCACTCGCCGATATCCTCGACGTCTCCGAAAACCCGCCCCAGCGCGTAGTGTCCGATCGAGAGTCTTCCTCAAGCCCCCCCACGAAGGAGTCCGCTCTGGTGACTCTGAGATACCGCCCGCCGCCGCCCCGCTTCCACACCGGCTGCTGGAACTCCATCCCGAACGGGGCGGCGGTAGCGGGCACGGCGGCCGGCTTCCTCGACGGACCGGCGGCGGCGGTGGAGATGGTACGTCGCCGTCGCTGGGCGGCGGTACCTGCGGCGCCGCCGGCTGCTGCTACGTCCTCGGGCCTGCCGTCCATGTCCCAGAGACGGCGGATGACGTGCGCGACCACCTTGATCCAGCGCCGCTCGCTCACGAACATATTCTGAGGAAAGACAATTAATTGGGTGCGATGCACAACGGTGTGGATAGAGCGTGGCCACCTACTTTCTTTGATCGCGGTGCTCGTTTTTTCCTGCAAGAAGTTTTCACTGCACTCTCGTTTTTGCACCACGTTCGAACGATGCAGAGAGTGATACGCACAGCTTTTGAGAAGAAACGTTGAAACTGGAAAACACACACACCGTGGCCCGGTTTTCACTTCGTGGATTTTGATGAGATCCAGCAACGTTGCCGATCACGCGCGCCTGTGCCCGTGTGTGTGCGGCCAAGCGCGATTGACAAGGGACTCACTCTTCACGCTGGATACATGTAGCTCTTTGCAAGAAAACAAACAAACGGAATAGCAACGAGATCGCCATTCTAATGTCCTCACGACCACATGCTTAAAACCAAGTTCTGACGCAATAGGGGGGCTAGAAACAAAGATGGAGCTTTGTCATTGGTCGGCCGGGTAGTGCAGACGCTGAGCAAAGACACCCAAACCCACCTACCGTACACACCTTGAAAGAACATCGCGTTTCTTATTCCGCTAATCGAGATCGACAAACGCGGTATTCATCGTGTAAACTGCTATCGCCAAGAAGGAACAAGCACATCCTGCCGCACCTGTCCGTCACGCATCCACCCCGCCTCCGAGCCCCCCTGCGTGCTCGCGGTGCTCAGCGTGCTCGTGTCTCTAGCCGCGTGTGCGAGTGTCGGAGGGAGGCACTCCCGCGCCAGAGCCCTAGCCAGAGAGGGGACACAATGCGGCAGACACCGATAAAAAATCAGCGAGTGCAGCAGGACAGAACGAGGCGTTTCGGTACTGGGACGTAGTTGCCCGTCGACGTGTGGACGAGGGCTAAGCTATGGCTAGGGTATGCGTCGTGAGCAGAGCATACACAAGCGACCACTGCAGAGGGGGGATAGAAACCTCGGAGCAATGGAGGTGGTTGGCAATGATCAGAACTGATCGTAGTGAGAACCTTCCATGGCCGTGAATGTGAATACCCCAGCAACAAATACAAGAAGGAAAATCAAGTGAAAACTGTTCGGGGAAGATAGCGGAGGGTGCAACTTCACGCTTCAGGAGAAAGAACACTCGAGTCGCCCAGTCTTGGTTTAACCGTCATCCGAATAGCTACATCCTCTTCCCAACATGCTCTCTCCATCGCTGCCCCCCCCCTCTCCGCCGTCGACCCCCTTACCCCCTCTTGAGTAAACTTGAGAAACGCGTCCACGCGAAATACTGTTTTCCGCCCAACTACGTGTACAATGACGCTTGATGTATGCCCACAGACCCTGATGCTACCACAGGTACCAGCCCTTCCACGCGGCAAGAGACTCCCTCGTCCCTCACATGACAAGGTGGACATCCTTGGCACTCCTGTTTGCACCCCCGGCACCACCACCACTATCGCCGCCACGGCTGCCACCGCCCTTGGACGTTAACAGGGATGCCGAGTCGCCGAAGAAGAGGAACTGAAGGGCGCACGGGAGGTCTGACAAGCGAATGCCGAGTGCCGAGGCCTTGAGCTCCCGGAACGCCTCGTGAGCCAGCCGCCTGATAAACGTGTGGAACGCGGTCGTCTTTCACTCGTTGACAAGTAACAAAAACAAAAAACAAACTACGTTACTGGCAACACGCCACCGGCAAAAAACAACCCTGCCACCTGCAACCATCAAAAACATCGCCACTGAGACCGGCCAGGTCACCTGATCTCCCGCTTGGCTAGGTACTGGATGGGAGTCGTGGGCGTCGCCTGGTGCATCACCGCCCCGACCCCTCCCCCCTGCGTCGCCGCCAGGTCGTCTACGAAAGGGTAGCGCGTGAGCACGTCTGGGCGCGCGGCGACCACGTGCCGCTTCCTGAAGACTGTAACTGCCCCTGCTGCAGCTGGCGGGCTTGCGTCGATGTTCTTGTCCTGGGGAGGGTTAGCGATTGTAGAAGGGTGTGTGAAATTTGAGGATGAGCTTGGAAGAAGCCGACCTCTGGAATAACCGAGCCACAAAAACTGTACTTTCTCTCGGGAAAACCTCATGGATGTAGCCAACCTCGTGTTGTGTTGTTAGAAACCCGATGACGCCCGCCCCGATTCCTAGCCATGGTCAAAGTGATATCGAACCCCCGTTGCTTGACAATACACTTCGCTATGGCAATTCACGACGAAGCGTCACGTGCACGCCCCCTCCCCCCCCCGCCCCGTATGTATGCATGTCATTTCCCCCATTTCCAGTGCCGCTGACAAACAACCGGAATACATCCCCGGTGGTGTTCAACGACGTCCTACTGCCACTCACCGCTAATACACGCTCACGCAGCACCTCTGTCGGCGCCGCCCCATTGCCACCGTTATCGCGAGAATGCTGCCGCTGCTGCCTTTGAGCGCTTGACATTCTGCTCCGACTCAGGGCCGCCGCCCCTCGCTGCTTCTGCCGGCCCCTCGCGTGCTCTCTCATCGAGGACAGCACCTCCCTATCGGCTGCATCTTTGTTGTGCGTGTGAGTGTTCGGCGCAATGTTCAAAACGCGGGACACGGGGAGGCAAGACTCATGTAAAGGGACAAGAGAGAAGCTCGTTTCATCCAGAGCGTGCTGTAATGGTATCTTTGTGACAGACTATACATGGGTGAGGTCCGTCGCGCTGTTCATCCCTACTGACGCATACGAACAGGGGTACATGTAGCCGCAAGTTCGAACGCGCGCGAAGCATACAGCATGTAGCCGCTGACAGTGCCACCATGCAATGCCTCCCCTCACAGGTTGAAAGGTATAGTTTTTACCTTGAGTGTATTCGAGCGTACTTCAATAGCAATGCCTAACCCGACTTCGCGTTTGGCCCTTGCCACACCCCGGCCGTTGTTCTCCACGTCTGGAGGAAGCTTGAAAGCAGATTGGGAACAATTTCAATAGCGCGGCCAAAAATTCGAAGGAGGAGAATGCTGTTGAACGCATTTTTGCTGTATTCACGGCATGCGCGCCAAGCGGTCCAGCTTACCCGTGGCGGCAAGCAGAGCCTCCAGCGAAAGGTTCTCCTGCCGATGGGAAGACAGCAAGCTCCGGATGCCATACGACGCCAGGCGCTGTGCACAACCACCACACCAGCCGCGTCGCCCAACAGAGAAACACAAGCATGCGGCAGATTTTGTAGAGCGTCAAATTATGCAAATATTGTACCGGAGCTAGAACTACAGCAGTACTTACAATACAAACTGCGGCATCGGTCAGAGGAATAGCCTTAATTGTTACACGTTCTCTGGAGAGAGAGTCCGCACACCGATCTGCCGTGTAGGATGGACAAGCGCAAGATGTCACAACGCCTGGACCATAGTTAGAAACTTGAGTGCTCTGCAGGACAAACACAGCAGTGACGGCCACAAATATGGCGGCGTTGGAATCTTTCGTCGTGTGTGTTTTTCGAAAAAATGTCGTTTGAATCTTCGGCAGCCTCTGCGTCGTGTCAGTAGGAATTACCGAGCTGCTGTTGAGGGCGTGCGGTATCTTGCGTGCGTGGCCGACAGCAGTCCGCCGTGTACTTCAACCAGACGCTAGAAACAACATCGCAAGAGGAAACGCTTTCCGCTCAGGCGGACCACCAGCAGCTCCGAAGTGATACTGCACAACCACAAGGGCGCTGTTCTATCAAGTGCGCTCCTCAGAGTCATGTCCTACAGTAGTTTGAGCGCGGATGGCAACGGCCGAGTCCTGATTTTGAAAAATGTCCGTTGGGGTAATCAGCGAGGCGGTGGACCTACAAGATTCCAAGGTCAGAAAAGCAACCGCCAACAACGCCGATACCAACGCTGACGGCACCAACAGCAGCAGAAGCTGCTGGAACATCACACCTGAGCAACGACGTCGCGCGTCTCTGGCGGATAGCGAGCCAGGAAGTAGCGGACGTGAGCACTCCAGCCATCTAACCCACGCCCGTGTCCGACCCCGTCAAAGCCGCCGCCGTTGTGGTAACCATGGTTACGACTTGCTGCTCTTGGTTTCGGGTGCAGCTGTCCGCCGTGCATCGCCGCAGAAGACCTTCGTATAGTCGCCATCCGAGGACCGATCCCTCTCTACCAGATCCGTGCTGAAAGCATACCTTTTTTGTCTCTGCGATTGCGTTGCCAGTTGCTCGCTGTGTCGCTCGAGGTATATACTGCTGTTCAGCAGAGGTGTTCTGAAGGGGCTCCGGGAAATCACGACCGTAAGAGCAATTGTTTGTGCGCGAGGCCCCCGATCCACGTGTACAACGTGTAGCCAGCCCCATCCAGCATCTTCTCGTGCGTTGTCTCCTCAACCACATGGCCCCTCTCTCTGGACATCTCACACACACAGCGTGACGGAAGGATTCCCTTGTTCGCTTTGCCTACACCTCGTGTTGCACGGGAAAACCCTTGGCGCAACCACAGGGATAACCAAACTGCAACTTCCGCCGCCGCAGCAGCATGCCTCCTCCTGCAGCATCAAGCGGCCGACAGCAGCAGCAGAGTCTGCGTGCCGGACCGCTCCTGTTCGTGGCGCTGGTGGCCGTCAACCTCTCGACTGCACCTCTGCTCGTTACGGCAAAATCTCTGCCGCGCTCGAGATGGGTGGCTGCGTCTTCGAATGGAGGCAGCTTGCATGACAGCAGCGCCTCCTCGAATGCTCGAGCGGTAGCGGTTGGAGTGCGCTGCGGCGCGACCAGCAGCGGCAAGGAGGACGAGGGAGAGGATACCGACGAGGTGTGTGTGTGTGCAGTACACAGCCGATGCTTGTATTAACCGGTATGGGGCAATCAACGAGAAATAAGAAAGGGAATGGAGGGCAGTTTGACTCAAAAATTGCCCGTGGTGTGCGGAATCCATCTGATTTTGAGAAAGCGGCAGATCGGGGTGTGTGTGCGCTGTGCGGTGGAGGTCGCGAGCTGGCTCGGGAGTTGAGTACATATTCCAGTTTCCAGAAAGAGGGCTTGGTCGATGGGAGCTTTAGAATGGTCAGGGTGCTGGGCGTTTGTTTTATGCGTGCCCCATTTTTGCGAAACAACGGACCGTTTCGCCGCGTCGACATGCGGCGCAATTCATCTCTAACAAAGCGCGCTATCTTGTTGTCTTCATGCGTACCAACGTCCGTGCCAACGCCTTCGACGGTCAGCCTCCCCGTTCGCCCTTGAGCGAGGGCGGCCTGGCGGCGACGGTGAAAGAAACCATCTCCAAGTTGACGGGTGTGGTCCGGAGCTTGCTGGGGGGGAAGGGAAGCAAAAGCGGCGGCGCAGCAGGCGGCGGTACCAAGGCCAAAAAGTCGTCGAAAAGAAAACCGAACAGCAGTAGCGGCGGCTTCACGGAGGCGTTCGAGGCCAAGTACGGCAAGAGGTGAGCGAGCTACATTTTAAGAAGCGTTGTGAGTATGGCGGCGCGGGGCTTTGCAAATCGCGGCGGTTTTATGGCTGTTGCATCCGTTGTTGGATGCAAGCTCGCTTGTCCAGAATGCTGCTGTGTCGCGAGCGAAGCGACTACAATATGTACAAACGATTCCGACCTTGATTTCTCCGGAGCATAACAACGATCATGCATCGACACCGTCGATCTTCTCCCCCGTCATCAACCCCGATCCCTCCCCCCGCCTGAGTATGTGCACGTTGGAGGACATTTCCTCACCCGCAGACTTGATGCTCTCTTGTCCTTTGTATCACCCACGGCGCCTTAACCTCGACCCTCCGGCTCGGGATGAAGACACCCCAAATTCAACGAGAAATCGTTCGGCGACGCAACGGAGACCGCGTGGGGGCGCAACCGGCTGTGCTTGGTCTACATCGCGGCCGAGAAAGGGAGCGGCGGCAAGGCGGCCAAGGTCGACGACGCCATCTGCAAGGCCCTCGCAGACCCCGAGGTGAGAGAGATAAGAGTGTGCCGACGGTCGGTTGCCGTATAACTTTCGTTGCGTGTGCGACTACTGTTTCGCCAGGCAACATGCAGTACCTGAGTGTGTGTAGGCGTATACCGAATAAGACACAAGATAGCACACCCCCCGGACTGATCTTCAAAGCTCAGTTACTCCACGAGAAAGAGGACGCATAAACGAAACGAAACGATACGTTTTCGGAAAGCTCTCGACAAGACGACTACAACGTCGCCGTTGTCGGCGCTGTGCATCTTTGTGCTGTTGAGAAATCGAGCTTTGAAAATCGGTCCAGGGGGCGGGGTGTACTCATAGTCGTGCATGCCGTAGTCGTTAGACCATTGACCTCGCATCCCTACAAAGCCGGGACGGAGCACGCCGGGTTCTCACCGGACCAGG